GTCGGCCCTTCCCGGGGCAGGGGCTCTGCAGGGGAGCTCCCCGCCATCCCGCTGCTGCGGCTTCAGGAGGGAGCTCGGCCGGTCCCCCTGTGTGGCCTGGGTCGGTCATGGGGAGCGTGTGGTGACCCTCTCCAGAGCGGTCACGGCACTGGCTCCAGGAATGGGGTGCAGGGCCTCCCCGCGGGGACATAGACAGGAGCGTGCGCGGCGGGGGGAATCCAGCCAGAGGATGAACTCCTCTGGTCTTGCAGCCGGCCTCCAGGCTCAGGCAAGGTTTCTGCTCACACAGGGCTGGATTGCATGTTTGTTGAAGCCAAAAAAGCCCAGAGACTCGCCAGAAATGTAAAACAATGCGGCTCAGTGTCCTGGGATCTTCCATGGTGGTGACGAGAACAAGAGTCATCACCCAGAAGATGGCTCCAAAACCACATGTCTTTGAAGCAGGGTGTGGCTGGCCACTGAGGAGATAGAAGAACTCATTTTTCCCCAGAAAGCCGTTTGGGGGAATTTGCGGCTGGCGGCCAGGAATGAGCAATTAAAAGGTACCAGGCCCAGACAGTTAGAGCTGCCGACTTCACACAAGGGAGTAGCGAGGAGAACTCGGAAAAGCAGCTACGATTTTTCCACGATACGCACAGGAGCGGTTTCGTGTTACCCGAGAATGGTAAAGAGGAATCATGGAATTACTGAACCCCTCTGCATAAGGAATTGCTCAAGCAAAGGCAGCAAAAGCGGTGCAGCAGTTCGCCTGAGACACCAAGAACAAGAAAACGAGCTGCAGTAGATGCAGACCAAAAGGAGACCTTCCTTTCAGCCACCCCAGCAGCAGAGCGCCAGAGCATGTGGGACAGGCAGCTCCTGCCCCAGCTCTTCTCGCATTGATAGTGTCTTTCTGTGATGCTGCATTAACAACAAACTGGGAATTGCGTCTTCTAGCTGTGCAGTTTTGTTGCCTTTCTGAAACCCTTTCTGAAATCCAACATAGGCAGAGAAATCCCCGGCGAAGAAAAAATCCCTGACAGATCTTTCCAAATGCCTGGTGATCTCCGCTTGCTGATGGGCAGCATTAACATTTTGGCATAGGCGCAGCCACCTGCCTAAGGAGCACTGGGCAAGTGATAGAATCATAGAATCATAGAATCAACCCTTTCTGAAATCCAACATAGGCAGAGAAATCCCCGGCGAAGAAAAAATCCCTGACAGATCTTTCCAAATGCCTGGTGATCTCCGCTTGCTGATGGGCAGCATTAACATTTTGGCATAGGCGCAGCCACCTGCCTAAGGAGCACTGGGCAAGTGATAGAATCATAGAATCATAGAATCATTGAGGTTGGAAAAGACCTCTAAGATCATCGAGTCCAACCATCGACCCAACACCACCACCCACTAAACCATGTCCCTAAGTGCCTCATCTACTCGTCTTTTAAATACCTCCAGGGATGGGGACTCCACCACTTCCCTGGGCAG